ACTGCCATCGCCTGGCTTTCACATGGGTGCTGGGGATGCAGACTTAGGTCCTCAAACTTGAACAGTGAGCACGTTGCCCACTGAGTTTCTCCCCATCCTCTGCTTGCCAATATCCCTATTGTTCACTTACAGGTCGTCATGACGCCTGGCCTGCAGCCAGGCTCTGGGTAGCTTGTAGTTTCTGTGTCTCTGCATACATGGGGAGCGGGTGGGCGCAGTCATGGATACGCCTGCATTTGGGGTGATTGATCGCCCAGTGTCCTGACTGGAAAAGCTGCTGTCGAGTGAATGGCACGTGCTTCTGTAGCTGCTTCTCTGTCTCCATGCAGATTTAGATAGCCACAGCTTTCTGGGACTTTTTGTTCTCCTCAGTCTCACGTTTCTGAAAATTATGAAACATCCAGAATCACTGTCTACATTATTTATACAATCCTGGAGTAACTCCTGCAACATAACCCTTGACTGAGAGGTCGATGTCTGGGGCCCTTAGAATCCATTGACTTATATGCTGTTATGTCATTCAGAAGTACCTGGCAGTTTTTGCTGTTTTGAAACAGGTCTCATGATCTAGCCCTGGCTGACCTGAAACTCAGAGATCCATCTGCCTCTGCCTCCCAAGTGCTGGGATTAAAGGTGTGTGTCACCAAGCCCAGTTCAACTAGCTTTATAGGCCTGGTGACAGGGATCTGTCATCCTAGCTACTCCTAGCTACAGCAGGATTGCAAGTTTAAGGTCAGCTTGGTTTACAGAGAACAATGGGATTATTGTTCTGTACTGAGCTGTACTAGGTTATGGTGTTATGATACAAAGTACAATATAGGTGTCAAGTCATCACAATTGAAAATTTTATTTTATGTGTATGAGTATTTGCCTGTGTGTATGCATGTGTATCACATATGTACCTGATGCCCATGGAGGACAAAAGAGGGTGTCAGATCCCCTAGAACTAAAGTTATGGATGACCATGAGGCCCCATATGGGTTCTGGGACCCAAACCCAGATCCTTTGCAAGATCAACAATACTTGCTCTTAACCATTGAGCCATCTCTCCAGCCCCTATATATAATTTTTATTTACTTTTATGTGTATGACTGCTTGCATCGTGTACATGTGGAGGCCAGAAGAGAGCATTTGATTCCTTTTTTTTTTTTTTTTTTTTTTTTGGTTTTTCGAGACAGGGTTTCTCTGTGGCTTTGGAGGCTGTCCTGGAACTAGCTCTTGTAGACCAGGCTGGCCTGGAACTCACAGAGATCCGCCTGCCTCTGCCTCCCAAGTGCTGGGATTAAAGGCGTGCTCCACCAACGCCCGGCGAGCATTTGATTCCTTGGAACTGGAATTACAGCCAGTCGTGAGCTGCCATGTGGGTGCTAGGAACCTCTCCGGCCTTGATGTATATATAAGTCTGTTTACCATGGAGCCCAGGCTGGCCTCCAACTCTTGGTGTCAAGTGTTCTTCCTGCCTGGGTGTTCTGCACAGCTGGAACCACAAGTGCCTGACTTCAGCATATAATTCTTGCGTTTTGAAGTCAGAATACACGAAAAAACGTAGTGGGTGTGGCGCCGCTTGTGGTTGCGCCTGAAGACTGCAGCTCTGCAAGTCCGCTTGAGTCTCCGAGATCATAGGTTTCACAGGTCAGGAAACTGAGGCATCTAGGGACGGATGTTTCAACCAGGAACACAGAGGCGATTTCTTTGCATTTCGCCTTCTAGATGGTGGAGGATCAAGGGCCATATCGGCCTAGTGGTGATTATCCAGGGGGAAGGAACTGCTGCCACTCACTCCCTGGGGAGACATGAACAGATGTCTGCTCACCCCAGGGAGAGCAGTGATGCCAGACCAAGGAGACAGTTCCACCAAGGTCTAGCTTGGTAAACCATTGAGTTGACTGGGTTGATTATGGGAGCATAGGTCGGGGCCCACTTGCAGGGGCACTGATGACTCAGAGGCAGTTACATCACTCAAAACCTGAATCCAGCATAGGTGACCACTCCCAGAATCCATGCCTGGAGCTTCCAGCACAACTCGAGGGCAGCTTCACGGAAGAGAGTCTGTTGCCCCAGCAACCCCACACTGCTTTCATTCCCCCGGGGAATCATTAGCTTCCGTATCTCACAACTCTCCCTCTACTACTGCACTACACAATCGCAGTGCATGATCCAAACCTAGGCTTACCTTGTTGTGCCAGGGAATTAACTCGGGAACCTTCTGATTGTCAGCGAGATAAACTCCACTCAGGTTGGTCATGGCAACAAAACTAGAAACTGTCAGGAAGCAGAGACCAGGATGTTAGCCAGCTGTGTGTCTCTGTCTCTGCTCCTGTGTCTGTGTCATTTCCCCTGCTATGCAGGCTAGCTTCTTCCACTTGGCAGGAAATATGACTGTTGCAGCCCTGAACTCAACTCTTCATTATTTTGTCTTCTAATTTCATCTCTAAAGGAAGAATCCTGACTTAAGGTTCCCATCCTTAGATGTGTCAGGCTCTGGTTTGAGCCATGTGGTTAGGGTTGAGAGGGGTAGAGTCTGAAGAGAGAGGTGTTTAACAGTTGTCATTCTCCTGCGATGGCACTGAACCTAGGCCTCTGTGCTAGGCCAGTGATCACCACCCAACTACACCTACTTCCTAGCTCTATGATATGAAGAACACTGCATAGCCTTAGACCAGTTAGGCCTCAGAGCATCTGATGTAGAAGTGAGATTGAGGTTGTCACATATATTTTTCACTTAAAAGCAACACCCTAAATTTGTTTCTTTTGCTGATTGGTTTGGATTTTGATATAGAGTCTGTGTAGCCTTGACTGGAACTCACTATATAGACCAGGCTGGCTTTGAACTCACAAAAATTCTTCTGCCTCTGCTTTCCAAGTGCTGGAATCACAGGTGTGTGCCACCACATCTAACTTGCTATGCCATTCTAAAATAGTGATTACCACATCATATTTTTTCTCTCTCATTTTCCCCCTTTTCTCTCCTTATTTGCTGGTATGATTTATTGTGTCATTTGGTCAGTAGGTTGCAGATGGTGAACTGAAATCAAGTTGGAACCAAAAAAAAAAAAAGCCTTTATCATTGGGTCAGTAATGGCTGATATTTGGTTGAAAACTGGGTACCTTGGGGCTGGAGAGATGGCAGCGGTTAAGAGATTTTGCTGCTCTTATAGAGGACCAGAGTTTGGCTCTCAGAAGCTCCAGGACTTCTGATGCCCTCTTCTGACCTCTGGTCACCAGCATACACACACACACACACACACACACACACACCACACAGAGACACACACACACCTGAAAGAGAGACACACACAGACACAGACACACACAGACATACACACACACAGACACACACACACACAGAGAAAGAGAGAGAGAGAGAGAGGTAAATAAAGAATAAAATCTTTTTAAAAAGAAAACTGGCTAAGCAGTGGTGCATATGCCTTTATTCCCAACACTCAGGAGACAGAAGCAGATGGATCTTTGAGTTCCAGGCCAGCATGGTCTACAGAGTGAGTTCCAGGACAGCCATGGCTGTGGTGTTATTTTGTTTGTGCTTTAACAAATAAAGCTTGCCTGAAGATCAGATTTCTGAGCTAGCCACTAGTTAGCCATAGAGGCCAGGCAGTGGTGGCTCACACCTTTAATCCCAGCACTGGTGAGGTGGAGACAGGAGTGATATGGCTGGTGGAGAGAGGAATGTAAGGCAGGAGGAGACAGCAGCTCATTGTATTCAGTCTGAGGATTCCTAGGGACAGGATTGCCCATTTGGTCTGAGGATTCAGTTGAGGTTAAAAACTAGTGACTGGTTGCTCTGCTTCTCCAACTTTCAGCATTTACCCCTATACCCGACTCAGGGTTTTTATTATAAAGACCTATTGGAATTTGAGCTACACGGGACTAAATAGAGAAACCCTGTCTAAAAAAAAAAAAAAAAAAGGAAGAAAGGAAGACTGTGCCCCCATCTCCACATATCCGCAATCCCCCACCCCACCCCCCATCCCCAGAGAAGGAGAAGGAGCAGCAACAAGACCTTAGTAAATAGAACTCTGGGAAGAATCCACTGGAGTCTGTGAATGTGGACCCTGTATTACTTTTCTCTTCACCTGGACAAAAGCACAGAAATCCACTGTGCAGGTGCCATGAAGTTCTTTGGCCCTTAAGGAAGAAGGCCCTGCTCCTCCAGTACTGGGTATAGGACATTAACTCTGAGCCCTTTCCCAGATATACTGTCTTAGAACAGTGGTTCTCAACCTTCGACCCTTTAATACAGTTCCTCATGTTGTGGTGACCCCCCAACCATAAATTTATTTTTGTTGCTACTTTATAACTGTAATTATGCTACTATCATGAATTGCAATGTAAATATGTTTTTCTGATGGTCTTACGCGATCCCCTAAGGGGTCGTGACCCACCAGTTGAGAACCACTGTCTTGGGAGGTAGTTAGGTATGGTAGCCAACACCATTAATCCAAGCTCTCCAGAGGCAGAGACAGGCCGATATCTCTGTACATGGGAAGCCACCTGATCTACATAGTGAGTTTCAGGGAAACAAGCAAAAGAATGTAATCAAATAAGCACAGTATGTGAAGAAAAAGAAAGTTCTTTTTTCCCCCCTCTCTGAGATGGGCTAGAAGAGGGAATAACCAGGTCTAGGATTCAGAAGGGTCTTCGAGGATCCAAACTACGAGTTAGTGGAAACGAAAGGAGAGTTTTCAGCACAAAAGGAGAGGAGCGGTGCAGCAGCTGACCGGACGCATATCGCGGCCTCGGCCTCGCGGAGTTCCCGAGCCACCGGGAAACCCAGGAAGGAGGCACAGAGTCGCCATATCTGCAGCAAGGCGAACCGATGGAGCCGAGGCGCTCGGCCGGGATGGTTAGGAGATGACACCGGACCTGGAAGGATCGGGTCAAGCAGCGGGAGGAGGCAGTTCCTGCGCGGAGAACCGAACCGGCCCACGTGGGTCAGGCCGCCCCGCCCAGCCACGCAGACGCCGGTGGACCCTGCAGTCGGACCAGGCTGGGCGAACGGTGCGGATACCACGCAGCCACGCCACGACGCGTGCACGCACAGGCCGAAGAACCTCACGCTACCCCGCTGCGAGCAGGTCCCAGAACCGTAGACAGCCTTGCCGGAGCCGGCGCCTCGAGGCCGTGAGTCCGGGCCCTGGTGGAGGACCTGGGGCCCAGCCGCAGGAGAGCGGAGAGGCGAGTTTTCCCTGCAGAGATTAGGGTGCTGTCTCCAGCCAATCCCTATCCTGCACCCCCTCCCCCAACACTGTGGATTAGCTGGAGGGGCGGGGCGGGGGTGGAGGGAACGCGTCCAGATCCTAGTCTCACTTTCGGAGCCCAGATCCTTAGCCCCACTCCCATCCCGCCTCACCCCAGCTTCCTTTATGAGCCCGGCCAGAATTTTTAGGAAGAAAAAAAAAACTTGAAATTGAGGTGAGGGAGGATCTTCAGACCTTTTTTTCACAAATCAAAGGGTTGAAGCATCTGTCCTCACCTCGCTCTGAGGACTTCTGCCCATTGCTGGGTGTGGGGAGGGTCCCTGCCACCTACTGTGTGTGTGGGGGGGGTGCTTCCTGGTGACTGTTTGACCTAATAGTGTTCCTCACTCAGGAGTCTTCAGTTCTTCCAGTCATGGTAATGTGGCCAGTAGAACCTCTTGTGAGTTTAAACCCAAAAGCGGTTATTAGGGACGGGAGTGAGAGAGCGCTCCGGATGGAGCACACTGGGTATAGTGAGAATGTCCCGTGCTCTGGGAGGGAAGGGCCAAACCTGCAGAGGGGCTGTCGCTGTGGCCTGGGGGGGGGGGGCTCCTTAGTGTGGAGGAGGAGAATGAGTCCAGGTCTGCAAGCCAGGGTCCTGCTGCTCCCATTTGCCTTCCGGAGTGCAGGAATCCCACCCTAGTCCCCCATTCCCTCTCAGCAGGCAAATACTGACATCTGCTAATCCTGGTGTATACTAGAGCAGTGGTTCTCAACCTTCCTATCGCTGCGACCCTTCAACACACTTCCTCACGTTGTGAGGACCCCCAACCATAAAATCATTTTCGCTGCTGCTTCATAACTGTAGTTTTACTACTGTTATGAATCATAATGTAAATCTCTATGTTTAGCGATTGTCTTAGGTGACCCCTGTGAAAGGGTTTTTCGACCCAAGGGGCCGTGACACGCTCAGGTTGAGAATCACTGTGCCAAGAGGTTATATAAAGGAGTTCTTAGTCTTGGCCAAGGAGTCAGATTAGAAATGATCACAAGATCGTTTAAACAAACAGTTCCAGCCGACTAGGCATTTGCTGGCCATCAACAGTGTATGCCAGGATTAGGAAACTCACGTGGATAAGACAGAGTACATGAGGGCAGGGGGGAGCTAGCGGAGTCATGGTTACCATGTAGATGGCATGTATCAGCCCAGGGGCACACTATCTGGCAGGCTTCAGACAGGTAGATTTTAAACACGAAAACAGAATTTTCTGGGTGCAGAGGAGGCACTTAGAGGGAGGAATGGAGAAGAATACTGTAGGCCAGGTGAATACTGCTGCAGAATGCTGTGCCCGGGGCCTCTGAGTGGTTTGGTGGGATGAGAGAGGCAGAGTGGTAATTGTTCAGAGGGCCAGGCAAAGCAAGGACTGCTGAGGTCTAACAGTTCTTGAGGGGCAGCATTCAAAGCTATTTCCAATCAAATTTACACAGTTTGCAAGAAGGGTAGTTTGGGTTTATTGAGATAGTTTTGCTATGTAGCCCAGGCTGGCCTTGAACTTGCAACCCTGCTGCCTTAGTGTCCAGAGTGCTGAGGTTACAGATATGAGCTGTCCTACCTGGCTGAATTTATATATTTAATATATATTATACATATATAGAACATATACTATATATATTTATCACATATCTATCTGTCTACACACATAGACAAAGAAAGATGTTTTGTTTTTGTTTTTGTTTTTTTGTTTGTTTCTCTGAATAGCCCCAGCTGTCCTGGAACTTGCTCTGTAGACCAGGCTGGCCTCAAACTCAGAGATCTACCTGCCTCTGCCTCTCTCCCAAGTGCTGAGATTAAAGGTATGAGCCACTACCACCCCAGCTGATATATGTTCTTCTTAAAAAATATTATTTGTTGTTATTTTACCGGGCATCGTTTTAATAACTAAAAAATATTTGCATGTGTGTGTATGCACACATGTTATGTGGGTGCTCAAATTGGCCAGAAGAAAGTGTTTAAAGGCAGTTGTAAACCATCCAACTCGGGTGCTGGGAATTGAGCCTGGATCCTCTGGAAGAGCCGCCAGTTCTCTTAACTGCTGAACCATCTCTCCATCCCCTGCATTTATATTTTTAATTGGAAGAGGGTCAGGGAAAAGTTTGTGGCAGTCATCTAGACAAAAAATGACCAGGGCCAAAATGTCAGAAAGTGGACAGTAGGGGGAGGGGGGATGAGGAAGGAGGGTAAATAGTCCAGGGTGCTCCTGGGTCCTGGTAGGTTGACTTAACAGGTGACAGAGCTCTCTTGCCTGAGGACCCTGAAGAGGAGCGCGGTTTGAGTGTGTAGGGTTTGAAGAGCCTTTGGTAGATTGCAATGTTGAATAGTGGTTGTATTTGGGTGGACACATAGCTACCAGTCACCCACACATGATGGTTCTTGAAGCTACCACAGAGAATGAAGTGGCCTGAGGAGAAGCATGTAGAGACAACCTTAAAGGAAAAACCCTGGGGCTGGGGAGGTTAAGAGCACTGACTGCTCTTCCAGGGGTCCTGAGTTCAATTCCCAGCAACCACATGGTAGCTTACAACCATCTACAATTCAATCTGTCTGGTGCTCTCTTCTGGCATGTAGGCAGAACACTGTATATGTAATAAATAAATCTTTAAAAAAAAAAAAAAAGGAAAAACCCTAGGAGGAGACAGACCACATGGTCAGAGAGAAGGGAGGGAAAGCATTGAGAGGTTACTGGGACCAAGGCTGCCCTTCCATCCTGACCTCCTGTCACCCATGCTTCTGCTTCCCTTTCACAGACCAGATGTTTGCTGCCATCCAGCCAGGGCTAGCAGAGGGGGCCCAGTTCCTGGGCGGCCTGCCTCCTGGAATATGTCAACCTGAGCTCCAACCAGACAACAATTCCAACTTTGTGGACAGTGCTAAGGATGCCAATAAGAACTGGCATGGCGTGCCAGGCAAAGTGGAGCCCGCTGAGTCACCCTCTGACAACCAGGTCTTCCAAGCCACTGGGCACCTCCAGGCGGGAGTCCGCAGTCCCCCGGAGGGTGCAGAGATCTGTGGCGCTGAGCCAGAGAAGTTGAGTGGTGCCAGCAGTGTCTGCTCTCCTCTGGAGGACATTGGTTACGCCAGCAGTTCCTTGAGCATCGACAGCCTTAGCAGCAGTCCAGAACCTATCTGCGGGACTCCTCGAGGCCCGAGCCCTCTGGATCCCCTTCTGCCCTCTGTGGCCCAGGCTGTGCAGCAGCTGCAGGCTCAGGAGCGCTACAAAGAGCAGGAGAAGGAGAAGCACCATGCGCACTTGGTGATGTACCGTCGCTTGGCACTGCTTCAGTGGATTCGGGCTCTCCAGCACCAGTTGGTTGACCAGCAGGCCCGACTGCAAGAGAGCTTCGATACCATCCTAGACAACCGAAAGGAACTTATCCGCTGTCTCCAACAGAGGGAAGCACCTTGCAGGCACCAGGACCATTGCTAAGGGTGTGCCCGAGTGTGTGTATTTGCAGGCCTGTGTGTGGTTATGCACAAGTAAGTATGTATGCAAGTAAACATTAATTATGTATGTGCTAACATGTAGGCATATGTGGATGACGTTATATGTTATGTGTAGCATGTATGTTTATGTATGCATGTGTGGCTAGGTGCCTAGGAATATGTATATATTCCCAAATAAGATATACATGCAAAAGATTTGTATGCATATGTATCAGTTAAATATATAGGTTTATATTGGGTGTGAATGAACCTTTGTGTGTTGAGATTTATATGTGCCAGTGCTGGCATAAGAAGCATAAGTTAGGAACATGTGTATTTGCAGAGAGACTTAAGAGCAGGTGTGTGCAAATATATGTTCAATTGTACCTGAAGGGCATCCACCCATCCCCTGTGTTTCCAAAGTCTACCCCAGCCTTATTCTCTCCTGGAGCTTCCCAGGCTATCTTCTATCCTTTCCCCTCATTTAACCTTGCTCTGTCTGCTAAGATCACTGTTGGCTTTTGGCAAGAACTTGTTCTGCTTATTGCGGTACAAAGGATTGAGCCCAAAGCCTTGTGCACGCTAGGCAAATGTCTTACCACTGAACTGCGTCCTGGGCCCCTGTTAAGAGGCTTCATGGGCTGCTCCAGCCTTCCTTTGCACATTTGCTGCTGTTTGGTGGGGACAGTCGGTGGAAATGGGTGTCAGGGAGGGAACTGGCAGGAGTGGAGGAAGGGATAAAGAAAGACATAAGAAACTGTCTTCGAGGGACGTGGTGGCGCACGCCTTTAATTCAAGCACTCAGGAGGCAGAGGCAGGCGGATCTCTGTGAGTTCCAAGCCAGCCTGGTCTACAGATCAAGTTACAGGATAGTCAGGGCTGTACAGAAAAACCCTGTCTTTAAAAAAGAAAAAGAAAGAACTGTCCTCTTGTGCCCTCTTTGGCTCCATGGGAGGTGGGGGTGGGAGAGAATGAAGATGTTAGATCTCTCTGAAGAACAGAAGAATGGAATTCCAGAACACAGCACACTACCTCACTGTGAGGAGAGGCTGAACACCAACCATGTTCATTTAGGTTTCTGCTGAAGGGCACTGTGTGCATATAAGCATGCAGGTATAGACCAGATGCACCAAGGCTGTCAGGGCACTGGGAGGAAACCTCCCTTCTCATCACCTCCCCCTTGCTGCCTACCTTGCTTTAGCAACGTCCAATTGGTTTGGTTCATTTTTCTGAAATCTGACTGTCCAGAGGAGCCAAAACTCAGTTTCCAAGCTCAGGGGACAGTGTCAGCTCAGCCTCCTGAAGCCCTGGAATGGTTGGCTATACTTCTCTTTTTCTACATTGCCCCTTTGAACAGGGATGGACAGGCCCCAGCAGAGGCTTCAAGCCTTGGAGATGAATGCATATTGGGTCAACCAATAATTAAGGTAGCAGAGCCTTTTGTTTTGTTTCTGGGTGCCAAGAGAATACAGGGTCCTAGTGGGCGAGCAATGACATGAAGAGGGAATGGTGGCAGTGACACGGAAGGCACAGATGGTGTCTCTAGCCCTCAGGCTACCCACCTGCGCAGTGGGGGCCCTTCCACTCTGTCTCCAAAGAGTTTCATCCTCAATGGGTGGGTGGGTGAAATGTGGGCCTGGGGGACTTCCTATAGTTCTTGCATGTTGAATGTGAACCTGGCCTCTGGACCAATCCAGGATTAAATAAACTAAGGCAGATAATTAAATTGAGGATGTGCTTTTGTTCTATTTGTTGCCCGGTGACCTCTTTCACACTCTCTGTCTTCTCCTTTTTAGCTGGGGCCAAGTGCTGGAAGTCTGGGAGATACTGGGGAGGAAAAGAAATCAGAATTTGTTTAGTAGTCTCATGGGCTCCTCATCTGACAGTGGTGAATGTGTAGGTGTGATGATTTTACTAGACCCAAGATTAATGATAAATGGTGTTTACTAGGGAACACTTACACAGTTAACAAAGAACTGCAGGAGTATTTCTCCGCCCTTTCGATCATTCTGCTGACCCAACAGAAAGAATGTGAGAGAGACCATGCCTCACACATCTCTCTGTTTCTGTCCACCTGAAGCCATGCCCAAAGGGGTGTGGCCACCATTACAGGATCACAGGCAAGACACCACTACACAGTGGATAAGATTTGGCCCCTGCCCTAAAGCACCATCGGGGATTGTCCTTGTCCTAAGGCATACTTTTTTAAAAGATTTATTTATTTATCTATTACGAATACAACATCCTGCCTCCATGTATGTCTGCACACCAGAAAAGGGCACCAGATCTCATTACACATGGTTGTGAGCCACCATGCGGTTGTTGGGAATTGAACTCAGGACCTCTGGAAGAGCAGTCAGTGCTCTTAACCTCTGAGCCATCTCTCCAGTCCCTAAGGTACACTTTTTAAATAGATACTCTGCAGAAGAGTGAGTGAGGGTCTTTGCATGGCTCTGACACAGGTGTAGCTTTATTTTATTTTATTTTATTGTGGTACTACAAATTGAACCCAGAACCCAGTACATTCGAGACAAGTACTCTACTACTGAGCCATGCCCCAGCCCCTGGATGTAATATTTAATAACATGCCTGATTGCAGATATCTGTTGATGGAAATTTAGACAATTGTCTTCTGTAGTTTATATGATTATTCCTTAATTTCTCAAAAATTCAGACACGGGGCTGGAGAGATAGCTCAAAGGTTAAGAGCACTGACTGCTCTTCCAAAGGTCCTGAGTCCAATTCCCAGCAACCACATAATGGGTTCTGGTGCCCTCTTCTCAGACATACATGCAGGCAGAATACTGATAATAAATAATTCTTTAAAAAATAAATTTAAAAAATTCAGACACTAAACATGTAGCTGAGCAACAAAGCACTTACTTAGCATGTGCAATCATTTTCAGTCTCTAGCACTGAAAACAAAATTTCAGGCATGGGAGTGAAGGAGTGAATACCTGTAATCCTAGCACTTGGGAAGTGGAGGACAGAGGATCAGAGGTTCAAAGTCATCCATGCATCTTTACTGCATCGTTACCTGCTGAACCATCTCACCAGCCCTAACTTTTTTTTTTAACAGAAAAGCAATCTTTTTTTCCCCATTAAGGAATTTGGATCTAAAAATTAGAATATCTCTTTAGAAACAGGAGGAGCCTTTTAAAAAATAAAGTTGTGGCATGTGCACCCCTGCAGGTCTTTAATCCCAGCACTGGAGAAGCAGAGGCAGGGGGAGCTCGGTGAGGTAGAGCCCAGCCTGGTCTACACAAGTTTCAAGACAGCCAGAGATTCACCAGTGAGACCCTATCTCAGAAACACACACATGGTTGGGGCGTCCTTATAATCTCAGCTAGGGAGGTTGGCTCAGGAGGATCAGAAATTTAAGACCAGTCTGGAGTTGGAGTTGGAGTAAGTTGGAGGCCAGCTTGGACTGCCAGAGACTCTGTTTCAAAATAAATAAACAAATAAAGTGGCTTAATATTCCTTTCCATGAAGAGTTCCCTGGCGCCTGTGAGATGGCCCAGTGTGGGTAGGCACACTTGTAGCCAAGTCTGATGATGTGTTTGGTCCCCATGCCCCACGTGGTGGAACAAGAAAAACCTCGCTCCCTCAAGTTGATTGCTGCTCTCCATATGTGGCACATGTGCCCCCAACTTGAGGATGCTCAGCATGGGAGAGATGCTGCGTTTGGGCCCCAGGATGAGATGGCGAGGGTACAAAGTGGGAGCTGGGGAGCTCTCTGAGGTGAGTGAAATGTGAGGACCAGGCCAAGGAAGCAGGAACATTGTATGTTACAGGAACTTATAGTCATTTGGGGTCTAGGGATAGGCCCAGTTCTTGGCGTGGAAGTAGATTTGAAAGGAGCCACACCAGTAAAGCAGGGTTTGGGGCCAGGAGGCAGGACCCCAGTGCCTGAGCCAACCACATCCAGAGTTGTAGTTCCTTGTCAGGTGGGAAACCAATGTGGGAGGAGCTGAAGCTACCTCTGCACCTCATATGGGGCAGCCTTAGTTTCCTCACCTGTGGCAGTTACAAAGCTTGAGCAAATGGACCTTAAGATGTTCTGTGGACATTAAGATCAAACTCCTGCTCTGAGTAAGACCTCCAGGGCCCCACCCTGCCTCTGCCCAGGCACAGCTCTGGCCTGCCAAGATGAATGAGGCCAATGTAGAGGCCACGCTGAGTCTGGGAAGGGGACATTGATACTCTGAACAGGTCTCAGCTTGAGATTTTTTTTTAAATCTGGAAACTTGTATTAATTGTTAGGGTGGGGATTTTTTAGTTCTTGGGGATGGAAGGGAATAAGGAGAGGCTTGTGAACATGAAAAGGTTTGAGCTGAAAGTCATTGCTGCCTCTTACCCTCTTGAAGAATGACATTCCATGACCACAAGCAAGGATATCCAACCTAGGTTTTGGATGCTACGTGAAGAACTTGGAGCCTGGAGGTGTCAGCGCACTCCTTTAATCACAGCACTGGGGAGGCAGAGGCAGTCAGATCACTGTGAGTTCGAGGCCAGCCTGGTCTACAGAGCCAGTTCCAGGACAGCCAAGGCTACACAGAGAAACCTTGTCTCAGGGGAAAAAAGAAAAAAGAACCTGGTCTTGCTTAGGAAGAACATGGGGTGATATTGGCACCGATAACAGACTCTGCAGTCCCAGACATGAAGCATGAAGGATCTGCCAAGGGGTAGATAGCCCTACACAGGGAGAGAGAGGAAGGTTTCATTCATCCAGATCTTGCTCACCAGTGTTTCTGTCTCAGGGTTTCTACTGCTGTGACAAAACATCATGACAAAAGCATATTGCAAAGGAAAGGGTTCGCTTACATGTCCTGATCACAGTCCATCTTTCAGGGAAATCCAGGTAGGAACTCAAGCAGGGCAGGAACCTGAAGACAGGAGCTGATGCAGAGGCCATGGAGGAGAGCTGCATGCCTGCCTAGCTCCCCATGGCTTGCTTAGCCTGCTTTCTTAGACCATCTAAGACCATCTGCCCAGGGCTAGAACTATGTAAAAATGGGCAGGGCCTCTCCCATATCAATCACTGATCAAGACTTACCTACAGGGCAGTCTTGTGGAGGCCTTTTCCTAATTAAGATTCCTTCTTCCCAGATACACCTAGGTTGTGCAAGCTGATGAAAAAACTAACCAGGACAGACCCGAACTAAGTCAGCCCCAACAACATTATCAGAGAGGACAAGGTTAAAAACTGGGGTGCAGGAAATGATCTGGGAACAAAGGAAGAATACAGAGTTGGGAGGGTCAGAAGGCTTCAAAATAAATTAAGTGGCCTCCACAGCCTCGGGCCTGAAACCTGTAGAGCACTGTGTAGTGGCTACCTCTGAGGAGAGTGGCTGTCTCCTGATGGCAGCCTGTGATCTGACTTCACTCAAATCCAGTGTAGTGCCTCTTACCGGGTACCTGTAAAGTCATAGGAATAGGGAGGAGCAATGCCGTGTTGCCCCTTCTTGGAGGAGGAGAAAGCCATAGAAGAGCAGGCCCAGAGGACTGTGGTTTCCAGTGCTCAGTGGACGCATATGTCCCAGAACTAGGTGTGCCTCATGGTTTTCACCCGTAAAATAGGGTAACAGCAGTGCTGTCCTTACAGGGTCATGAAGGAGTCAGATGAGTAAATTATATGTGGAAGGCTTAGGCCTGAGCCTAACTACTTAGAAGCAGCCCAGACACCCTAGCTGTTATTATTTGATGAGGAGAGGATGACAGCCTCAGAGGCAGGATTGTAGCTGTTCTGTGAATTAAAAAGCGTTTCTGGGGCTGGAAGAGCGGCTCAGCAGTTAAGAGCACTGGCTGCTCTTGTAGAGAGGACCAGGGTTGGGCTTCCAGCACTCTGATGGCAGCCCACAACTTTCTATAATTACAGTTCCAGGAAGATGCAACACCCTCTCCTGGCTTTCGCAGGCATTGGCACATACAAACAGGCCAAACACTCATTCACATAAAGTAAAATTAATTTGGGAGGAGGAGCATTGCTGGGCTGGGGATGTAGCTCAGTTGGTGGAGTGCTTGTCTAGTTTGCATAAAGCCCTAGGTTTGGTCACGAGAGCCTCATAAAACCAGGTGTGGTGGGGGAGATGCCTGTAAACCTACGAAGGAGGTAAGAGCCGGAGGATCAGAGATTCAAAGGTTATCCTCAGTTATATAGCAAGTTCCAGGTCAGATCTTGTCAAAAACAAACAAACAAACAAACAAACAAAAAAAAACCCCGCATTGCTATACAGGTCGTGTACCTTACTGCAGGCCAGTACCAGCCTGGTGAGTCTAAGGGATGCTTCTGGTGAGAAAGGGCAGAATGACGTTGGAGATGCTCTGGAACATGAGCCAAACCTCACATACATCCTGGCATACATCTCCATACCCGCCAGGTGCTGGCAGATAAGCTCCCACATCTGTGTACAAACACACCTGCACCTTCGCTTACTCACAGACACAGACAAACATACCCCTCAAACCCTCAGAAATAAGACTGCAATTTGTTAGGGCCTGAGGGATTCTCCACTTAGACTTTGCTCTATCCCAGATCCCTCCCACCTACCCAACCCTACTCTTCCCCACCAAGTCCCCAGCCTAAACTGTGTTTCATCGTCCAAAAATTCGAGGTGAGATTCCCTGGGTTGAGCAAATAGCAGGTACACCCGACCAGAGTGGCGCGGGAGAAATGGAGGGCTCGTCGTATTGAGGTCTGGCATGTTAGAGCCTGGGAGGGGCTGA